TATTCTTTGACAAAGTGTCATGCGAGATTTTCATGTAGAGAGCGAATGTCACGAAAATCATGCCATTTGATGACGGGACTGAAAGCTCTTTAATCATGCGTCTTATAAAGATGATTGAAATGAGAGCAACTGGCGTAATATTATGCAATACTGTTCAGTGAGGCTTTACTGCAGAGCTGATATAATAGAAAAGCAAATATTTTCAGTATAACAATTCGTAATTTGAATCTCCAAATATGTGCAGTGAGCCAGAAACCGGCTCATAAATAACGCTCATGAATTAGATTTCTGATATTTTGAAAACTAGGGGAGTTTGGGTAAAATTTGCCCCATCGCCGTTTTCACTAATTGCCATATTTTCGGTATATCAAGTTGCAATTTGCAACTACAAATATGTGCAGTGAGCCAGAATTCGGCTCAAAAATGACGCTCATGAGCCAGATTTCCGATATTTCCGACATTTTGAAAACTGTGGGGGGTTTGGGTAAAATTTGCTCCATCGCCGTTTTCACTAATTGCCATATTTTCGGTATAACAACTCGTAATTTGCAACTCCAAATATGTGCAGCGAGCAAGAATTCGGCTCAAAAATATACGCTCATGAGTCACATTTCCATGTTTTGAAAACTGTAGGGGGGTTGGGGTAAAATTTGACACATCGACGTTTTCACTAGGTGAAGTTCACTTTCTGGCTCACTCACCAATTAGGTGAGTACTAATTTGCCATATTTTCGGTATGACAAGTCGTAATTTGCAACTCCAAATATGTGCAGGAGTTGGGTATAATTTGATGTTTTGCAGTAAACTTTCTGACTCATGAGCGTTATTTTTGAGCCGAATTCTAGCTCACTGCACATATTTGGAGTTATAAGTTACGACTTATTATACCGAAAATATGGCAATTAGTGAAAACGGCGATGGGTCAAATTTTACCCCCCTCCCTACAGTTTTCAAAATATCGGAAATATCGGAACTCTGATACACGAAAATCATCTCCCAGAGGGTATTGAGTCATTCCTCTGAATGTTACGCTGACGACGCCAAAATTATGAGAATTATTAAGACAGAGGAGGACAGCTTGAGGCTTCAAGAAGACCTGGACAAGCTGCAGGAATTGTCGAACAAATGGTTGTTAGAATTTAACCCAAGCAAATGCAATGTAATGAATATAAATGTAGGGAGCAGGAGGCCAGATACAAGGTATCATTTGTGAGATGAAATACTTCAAGAGTCAGAGAGAGAGAGAGAGAGAAAGACCTGGGGGGTTGATATCACGCCAGACCTGTCCCCTGAAACTCATATCAAGAGGATAACATCAGCGGCATATGCCAGGTTGGCTAACATAAGAACGACCTTTAGAAATTTGTGTAAGGGATCTTTCAGAACTTTGTATACCACATATGTCAGACCAATCCTGAAATATACGGCTCCACCATGGAGTTCATATCTAGTCAAGCATAAGACTTAACTGGAAAAGGTTCACAGGTTTGCCATCAGACTAGTACCCGAATTGAGGAGTATGAGCTACGAGGAGAGATTACGGGAATTAAACTTCACGTCACTGAGAGACAGAAGAGTTAGAGGGGACATGATCACCACATACAAGATTTTCAGAGGAATTGATAGGGCAGATAAAGACGAACTATTTACCACAAGAGGCTCACGCACTAGGGGACACAGGTGGAAATTGAGTGCCCAAATGAGTCATAGAGACGCGAGAAAGAATTTTTTCAGTGTCATAGTAGACAAATGGAATGCATTTGGAAGTGATGTGGTGGAGGCTGACTCCATACATAGCTTCAAGTGCAGATATGATTGAGTCTAGTAGGCTCGAGACCTGTTCATTAGTTGATTGACAGTTGAGAGTCGGGACCAAAGAGCCAGAGCTCAACCCCCGCAAGCACAACTAGGTGAGTACACACACACACACACACACAGACGCACACACACACACACAAACACACACCTATGTACGTGCTGGAACCTGAGCATACAGACACCTACACACTCATTGATTATTGACTTCTGATATGTTACTGGACTCTAGGACGTGTGTACAGCAATCCAGTGCCCAGGAAAGAACATGGGAAAATCGACTACCGAGTTAATGTGACAGTATACACGCCGAACAAAACACAGGTAAACACGCCAAACACGGGAATACACGCCAAACACAGGTATTCACGCCAAACATAGGAATACACGCCAAACACAGGTATTCACGCCAAACACAGGCAAACACGCAAAACACAGGCAAACAATCCAAACCCAAGCTATCAAACCAGCTATCAATATTCACAACAGAATTGTATGTTTTGTACCAAGCTCTTCAAATAATTACAACACTACCAGCCAGGAAATACACAATCTATAGTGACTCCAAAAGCAAGATTCAAACCATTACGTACGATACTAAAACATGGAAAGAGCTTATCCATTCATACCTACATCTTCCACATGAACATCTTTCAAAAGGATATGACATATCAATGGTCCTGGGACCAATGGGTCCCAGGACAATGTGGAATACTCCACAACGAACTTGTAGAGCAACTAGTAAAAGCGATACACGATTCAACTATCATCACATATCATCAAGTTCCCCATATTGCACAGAAATGAGCACTAAAATCCACCATCAACCACGAATGTAGTGAAATTAAAAACATGCACTTCAATATTCTGTGGAACCATTAAATTGACAGGGGGAAGCTGTGAAACACGCCAGGTATAAAAACAGAGAAATAGATGTAACAATGACCAGACAAAGCATGGAACACACCAAACTAGCCACACACAGCTGTACATACAGGGCATATATAAATTAAATTTGTGTTCACTGCCATTTTCCAGAGACAATTGAACACTGCCTCCTACACTGTTTAAAACATCATAGTGGCAGAGTTCATTTCATACATGTACCAATTTGGAAGAAGAGATCTCCCACTACATATAAAAAATCAAGTAGTCAAAGCATTAGCTAAATATATCCCGTCAACTCAAAAATTAGTCCACATCTGACCTGTTCCAATAATTTAAACCACCGGGAGAATCACGCATGGAAAATAAGTCCTAGCTAGATAAAGTGAAAAGCAACAACCAGCTACGCCTTAAATACAACATCCAGCCCTCGCCGCCATGCGTCAAGTCTAACTAAAAACCGTTTAGTTTCGCCATTACCCTTGCATCAACTGCAACATCATCATCATTCCAGCCTTGCCAAATAAACATTGACGCGCTACTGTGATTCGTCTCCGAGCATTACCACGTGAGTAGTCATCGGGAGGAGAACACCTTTAAGCAAGCTTCATGTACCGTAAATAATAAGAGAGGTAAACACGAAAACACAAGCAAACAAGCCAGACATAGGTAAGCACACCTAGAACAATTAGCATAATATATCCTCACATTTTCAATTATATCACTGCATTAGGTCTTTTATTCAGGACAAAACAGCACACATACATAATGTATACAAAACCAATCAAAATATTGTCTCTAATTTCGATGTAAATACTTTATGTAATTCCATGATGAGCCAATACACTCGTAGTTCCTCATGAGAGATAGATGTAACATTTATTTTCATTAAAACATATGTAATCTACTGATACAAGTGCTCATGTTGTCCTCAAGTACTCAGGTTTTACTAACAAGAACTCCTATTACATCTGAGTTGTACATTTTATAATACATATGAGCTGTAAATATTGTAATACATGTACACTGTAATTCTCACACATACACATGTTTTAGTAATACGTGCATACATTGTACACAATTCCCATCCGCAATGCCAGTACCAGATATAAAAACTTTCCTACATCCCCGTGGCATTTAAAATCACTTAATTGTTGCCAATCAATATAAACAACTTATAATTATCTGGATAATCGAATAAATTATTTTTTCTTATCCGGGTACTGTATGTTAATTCATTGTATTCCCTTTGCTGATATATACACCGTTTTGAGCTTACACAAAAACTCCTATATTGGCTTCCCGGCAGACTTGGAATCCATTTGTTATTTTGCTGACGTATGTAAATCCATTTGATTCCCTTGCTGACATTCGCAAAATCCAATCTAGTCTCTTACTGACAGATAAGAAGCTCTATTTTTACCATTTTTGCGCTGCCAGATATGGAATCCTTTCATTGTTTCCCTGACATGTGTAAAATCATTTTAATGTATTGTGAATTTTTACAAGGACTCGTTCTTTCTCTTGCTTACATTCTTCTTTCAGCCAGAATCACACAACTTAGACCAGTTGTCTAATATAGTCTGGGTGTATTTACGTTTAAACTTAAGTAAAACCATGATTCAAGTACTGAAATGCATGCATTTTTTTTTTGGTGGGGGGGGGGGGGGGATGGTGGATGCTCGGTGTTGGGTTTAAGACCTATCAAGCGTTGAGAGGTTATTAAGGCCACTACAAAAACTGACCAACCTGAAAAATTTCTTAAGTCCTGAACATACTCCTAGGGAAAAAGCAAACTCTCAGTGTATGTACACCGATAAGCAGTACTCCTCTTGATATGTTTACCCCTGATCGTCTAACTGTTTGTATGAATGGCATTATTATCAAATATGGGACAATTTTGTTTTCCCTGAGGTATGTTATAGCAAAACAGACTAGTTAAATTAGATTAGGCTGCTAAGTTAGTTTGCGAATAACTTAACAGATTTGCACATGTTCACTTTTAAAGAAGTTCGGATTATGTAATGTTTTTAACAAATGTATTATAAAATTATGTCCTTAAATGCTTATCAACTTAGTAATAAAATAATGATTATTTTATCCTTTATTCAACAGCTACCAATACTAAGACGCTTCTCATTTTGCCTCTAACAAATCTAAGATTCTTCCATTCTACCATCAAGAGATATAAGCTTCTTCCACCGACAGATCTAACGTTCTTCAATTTTCTACCGACAGATCTAAAACTTCACGTTCTCCTCGCGACAGATCAATTAATCTTCACATTCTGCCACCGACAGATGTGGTTTCTTCACATACGGAACGTGACGAAGAATGACGAAGGAGAATACGAGTGCCAGACGTCCACACATCCCCCTATGTCTTTTATGACCTTCCTCAAAGTGCAGAGTAAGTGCCAACTTGTTTGCTGCTGCTGCATGTTCCATCAGATGAGTGACAGAGTGCTAAGTTGCCTGTAGTCGCTGCATGTTCCGTCAGATTTGGGACAAAGTGCTAAATTGCCTGTAGTCGCTGCATGTTCCGTCAGGTGGGGACAGTACAAAGTTCCCTGCAGTTCGGTAAAGTCGTTTTCTTCGTGTCCTGAAATCTTTCTGTCGGAAAAACAGGTATGACCAGGTTGGCCTTTTTGCTCTGTGAATTCCCTCTTCGATGAGAATATGGGCAGCAAAGCCAAGGGCTACACAAAGTGTGAAGACTATGCGGTTCTAGATGAGTTCCAAGGGTAGAGTTAGGACGACGTATACAAAATCCTTCGTACTGGGGCTTTCGCCGTTGAAATGTAGATTTCGGATCGTGTATCCCACTCGATCCTCAGATGTGATCTGGTAGAATCTTGTCTGCTAATTCAGAGCATAAATTCACTAGGATGTATATCCCGGTAAAGGTAATTATAAGAGCGGTAAGCCATTACGACTATATAGCAATCTAGTCGTAATATAGCAATATAGGTAAAGCTGTCTGAATTGCTTTGTGTTTGCCTTTCCAACCAAGTCTGATGAGCAGCAGCCTTGTTCGGTTTCAATAGGAGTTACCCTCGGCAATCGGCCAGATTCTACCAAAATTTTTTTTCAGGAAATACACGGGTATTTACCAAAGAAAAAGGGTTTATTGATTATTTCAAGCGTAGGTTAGACATATGCTTGCATACGTTTGAGTGGATTTAAGAATGAGCTGACTCAAATGGGCCAAAAGGCCTTCTGCATTTTTATTTGTCACGAAATAGGGAAATAGTTCTACCTGTTAGAATAAACGTTGTAATCATATACAGGACTTCTGAAAAGCAGCACCGAGGACTGCACTGACATATTAAGTAGTAAAACAACCATCTCCTCCTGTAGGACCTCGCTAATCAATAACCCGATAGTCATTAGGCTTTCATCTGATAGTCATTTGATCTATCTCCATTGGATAACAAATACCGTCTCACTATGATCTATCTCCTCCAAATGGCCATCAGATTAATGTACAACGCTCAATATTTTCACAGTTTTCATGTCCCATCACCTGGCGTTCATGTTAAGTCAGCTACTACATGCATATTCAATGACCATGAATTCATACTCAGCGTGTGATTTCGACGTATGTCATTCTAGATAAAATATTTTTCACAATATTTTGTTGTCCCCGTAGCACGGAAGAAGCCACTTAACGTCGACACCGTACAACCGTGTTTTGCTAATAATTTGGTATATTACCATCATTTATTTCGGTCTCCCATTTGTTTGTTTTTTCTAATGTATTTCAGAATAACTGAAATTGTGAGCTGCAATATATATACATATATAATGTGTATGCAATTCTCGGCAGCTAATTAAATAGAGTAATGAAAGCCTTGTCTTCAATACATGAATCATTAAGATATATTGTCATTTACAGTAAAAAAAAAGTTTAATATCAATTATTCGTTCCTCATCAAGTATGCATTTTGGGTAATAAATCTCTATTGATTTTGCTACTTAAATATGAATGACGTTGCACAGCTAATATGCTTATATATATATACATACATATATATATATATATATATATATATATATATATATATATATATATATATATATATATATATATATATATATATATATATATATATATACATATTGGACCTTCTGAAGATGTATTTAGTATACGAAAGTACTTAAGGAAATTTCCTGTTTCATTTTTCCTCCGTGGTCTGACATTGTCACATTCTTAATCACGTGTTTATTTTCGTGATATACACACATATATATATATATATATATATATATATATATATATATATATATATATATATATATATATATATATATATGCAAACAAGCCTGAATGGTCCCCAGGACTATATGCGACTGAAAACTCACACCCCAGAAGTGACTCGAACCCATACTGCCAGGAGCAACGCAACTGGTATGTACAGGGACGCTTTAATCCGCTTGACCATCACGACCAGACATAAGGAAGTGATAGCCGAGGCTATTTGAACCACTCCCCCGCCGGCACTTGTGTTCCTCACGTGTTGCCCCAAAGAATGAGGTGATTTGATAAAATGCTATGCCCAAGATTACCATCCGAGTGCCGGCGGGGGAGTGGTTCAAATAACCTCGGCTATCACTTCCTTATGTCCGGTCGTGATGGTCAAGCGGATTAAGGCGTCCCTGTACATACCAGTTGCGTTGCTCCTGGCAGTATGGGTTCGAGTCACTTCTGGGGTGTGAGTTTTCAGTCATATATATATATATATATATATATATATATATATATATATATATATATATATATATATATATATATATATATATATATATATATATATATGTATGTCGTACCTAGTAGCCAGAACGCACTTCTCAGCCTACTATGCAAGGCCCAAGATTATCATCCGAGTGCCGGCACGTGAGGAACACAAATGCGAACAAGCCTGAATGGTCCCCAGGACTATATGCGACTGAAAACTCACACCCCAGAAGTGACTCGAAACCAATACTCCCAGGAGCAACGCAACTGGTAACTACAGGACGCCTTAATCCGCTTGACCATCACGACCGGACAAAAGGAAGTGATAGCCGAAGCTATTTGAACCACTTCCCCGCCGTTTTGATAAAATGTATATATATATATATATATATATATATATATATATATATATATATATATATATATATATATATTTTGGTAGCAGTCTTTCCTGTAGACATATATTATTAAATATGATCGAAAAAGTAAGATTAATAATTCTAACACGAATTTTCTCAATCTTTCGTACATTTCTTTTCACTGTTGGAGGTAAATAAAAAATTAATTCTCCAAAATTCATTTTTATTTCTAGTCTGACGCGACACGAGCGCGTTTCGTAAAACTTATTACATTTTCAAAGACTTTAGTTCACAAATACAATGTATTTGTGAACTAAAGTCTTTGAAAATGTAATAAGTTTTACGAAACGCGCTCGGGTCGCGTCAGACTAGAAATAAAAATGAATTTTGGAGAATTGATTTTTTATTTACCTCCAACAGTGAAAAGAAATGTACGAAAGATTGAGAAAATTCGTGTTAGAATTATTAATCTTACTTTTTCGGTCATATTTAATATATATATATATATATATATATATATATATATATATATATATATATATATATATATGTGTGTGTGTGTGTACTCACCTAATTGTGCTTGCGGGGGTTGAGCTTTGGCTCTTTGGTCCCGCCTCTCAACTGTCAATCAACTGGTGTACAGATTCCTGAGCCTACTGGGCTCTATCATACCTACATTTGAAACTGTGTATGGAGTCAGCCTCCACCACATCACTTCCTAGTGCATTCCATTTATTAACTACTCTGACACTGAAAAAATTCTTTCTAACGTCTCTGTGGCTCATCTGGGTACTAAGTTTCCACCTGTGTCCCCTTGTTCGTGTCCCACCCGTGCTGAAGAGTTTGTCTTTGTCCACCCTGTCAATTCCCCTGAGAATTTTGTAGGTGGTTATCATGTCTCCCCTTACTCTTCTGTTTTCCAGGGATGTGAGGTTCAGCTCCTTTAGCCTTTCCTCGTAGCTCAATCCTCTCAGTTCCGGGACGAGCCTGGTGGCATACCGCTGAATCTTCTCTAACTTTGTCTTGTGTTTAACTAGGTATGGACTCCAGGCTGGAGCTGCATACTCCAGGATTGGTCTTACATAAGTGGTATACAGGGTTCTGAAAGATTCCTTACACAAGTTTCTGAAGGCAGTTCTTATGTTGGCCAGTCTAGCATATGCCGCTGATGATATTCTTTTGATGTGGGCCTCTGCGGACGTGTGTGTGTGTGTATGTATAATAGACATACACATCTGTTCGTGTATTCACCTATCAGTCTATTCATTCATCTATATATTCATATATCTATAAACCATTTACCCATCTTTCCCTCTATCCATTCATCTTCTCTATCCATTTATTTATCTATCTATCCATCAATGTGTCAATCCATCCATCTTCCCTCTTTATACATCCATCTATCTGTCTTTCGATTTATCCATCCATTTATTCGTCTATTCTTCCATCTAACTATTCAGCTTTCTATCCCTCAATCTTTCTCCATTTTTCTATCCATCCATTTAATATCCGTCCATTTAGAATCCTCCCATTTAGTATCAATCCATTCAGAATCCATCCATTTAGAATGCCTCCTATTATGTATCCTTTCATCCATTTATTCGTCTATACATCTAACCACTATCTATCCATATCTGTCTCTCTCTTATATAAATTATAATTTTGTACCATTACTGTGTGGTGGTCGCCCTGGGGAACAGATTAGCAGTGTGAAATATTGACAAATAGAATGGTGTTCCCATTTACGTTGCGAAAGCCGTAGGGGCTTTAGAAACCTTTGAAGTTGGTGAAAGACCGTCTGTTTTATGCGAGTGTGGTCAAATTATGGTCAGCAGGAAATTGCTGTTAATTTTCCCATGGGTCTAAGAGGAACTGTGTATATTACTATAAGATAAAAATTATTTGGAAAATATTTTGGTACGAAGCCGGGGTGCAGAGCCGAAAATCGTCGTGGGAGTCTGATTGTGATATTGACACGTTGTTCGCTTTTGAATTCTGGCGACTCCGAGAAACCTATGTTCATCCCATACCCCAGACTATTTTCTCTGCCAATTTGGGTGAGGCTAGCCCTAAGCGTTTAGCCAATCGTGAATCTAAAAGAAGGAGTTAATTTACTGTTCAGTGGTGTGGTTGCTGCATGAAGTTTAGGTAAAGCTAAGACCTATTTCATTGCTCCATAGTGTGGTTGCTGCACATCTGGATGAGCACCCATCACACTGGATTGGCCTGGTATGGTCAACAAACTGTTTGCAATCTGTCTGGCCACTCGTCATATTATATTGGTTTAGTATCGTGTACGAACTGCTGTTTAGA